CCCTGGCTTTAGGAGTACAATTTACACGCAGTGTAGTGTCGTTTACGGCGCCGTGAATTCACGGACGTTCTTGCACGTACTCCGATGGGACGTATTCGGGTATGAACACGAGATGATGATATTCAAATTGTCCGACGTACTCAACTTACGTTATGGCAGCACATAACCGGGTTTTTTTTGCGTTAGATTGCATAAATATAAATGTGCTGTTCGACCCGCCACCACCGGGCACAGCCAATTAGTAAGGTTTGTCACGTCAACAGAGTAAACCCACAACATTTACTATGTTGTGGATTTGCTCTCCAACACACCAGTGTGCTGAAGCAGCAATTAATTGGCATGTTCTGTTTACGTGACAAACCTTACTTATTGGCTGTGTCTGGTGGTGGCGAGTTTAACGACGCATTTGTATTTACGCGATCTAACAAAAAAAATACCCTCTATTTGGATGCTATTGGTCGCGAAAGCACGCCAATCGCATTATGCTCACCCTTAATTTCTCATATTTCTTGAGAGCTGGTTTTTGCGTTCAGTTTGTTGTCCTCTCTCTCGCCCTTCCGATGAGCATGGATGGCTACGTAGGGTGTGAAGGAAGTTGACGTACTTATCATTTGGCGGCGCAATTTCTTCACGAGAGAAAAAATCTGTGGGCTCGCGCTCGCATTTTATTTTTTTGCACAACGCCGCTCTGGACCCAGCACCTGCTGTAGCGGTCTGGCCAAGCTGGGCCCCACGGTCCACGCGGCGAGAATTCTTAAAACGTTTCCGCTCTCACAGGAACGCCCCACGGGGGTTGGTTGGCAACGCAGGGCAGCGGGTGGAGGGTTTACCAGGGAATTCGAGGCCCCGACAGAGAGGAGGACGCACCATGCTTGACGAGGGGAAAGGGCGGCAGGCGAGAGAGAGAGTAAGCAGAGAAAGAGCTGAGAGTGAGAGAAAATGAAACGAGGGCGAGCAGGGAAAGAGAGCAGAGAGGGAACGAAAGCGGAGAGAGCGAAAGCAAAGAGAGGGGGCGAGCTGAGTGAGAGAGTGGAGAGAGTGAGCGAGAGAGTGAGCGAGAGGTGGGGGTTTACATAAAGCAAAGTTATACAAAAAATTACAAAATGATGAACAAAGCAAAGTGCCGACTACACCGAGCATCTTCTTGTTTCCAGTGATCGTAAAAAAAAGAGAGAGTGAGAGCGGCAGAGAGAGAGTGAGCGAGAGAGAAAGTGAGCAGTGAGAGAGAGCGAGCGAGCGAGAGAGTGAGCGAGAGAAAAAGGTTACATAAAGCCCAGTTTAAAAAAATTACGAAATGATGAACGAAGCAAAGTGCCGAATACACCGAGCATCTTATTGTTTCCACTGATCGTAAAATAAAAAAAATAAAAAATAAAAAAAATGAAAAAGAGAGAGAGAGTGGCAGAGAGAGCGAGAGAGAGAGAGCGGAGAACGAGAGAAGTGTGCCGATGAACGTTGGGTGTGGAAGAGCGGCAATGCTCGAAGAATTTACATTCCGCGCGCGACGACGGGCGCTGAACGCGCCGCTGCGCTGCGGTTCTGATTTATTTATGGAGGGCATCATTGTTTGCAGGAGGAGCCAGAACGCCTCATTCCATAATTCGGAGACCTCCATCGGGGGGCATTGTCACGGAGTGCGTTGCCGTACGATGCGAAATGTTATCTTTTCATTCCCGTCTGTGTTTTTTTTAATATATGGCCACGTTTCTGAAAAGAAACCGCTCCTTTCGAACACCCTGTCTGTAATTAAGTTTGGCCCATTTATTAGTGGATGTGTGTGTGTGTCCGTGTATTGCTTGTGAACGGAGGCCTTCGAGACTCAGTATCTTTGAAAAAGAGCTACGTTGCTCTGTTGATTCCTCCAGTCTAAATAAAGATTCTGATTCAATAGGCAGCTAAGGAATGAAATGTATATGTAGAGGGTCCAAGGTGGGCATTCGTGAAGAAACACAGTCCATTTACCTTTCTATAATAAAGCCCCAAAGTGAACATCTCAAATTAGATGAGTTATAAAAATAGAACAAAAAATATTTCAATTGATTTTTTTTTATCTGGTTAAAATGACCAGCAAATTTTCTTCTGTAAGGAGGAGCCAAGGATGTCTACGGAGGAGATGGAGCGATGAAATCGGTGTATTTGAGGGTTGTTTAGTCCATTACTACATCGCGGTATCCAATGGTAGATAAATAATGGCTGTTGCTGCTGCTGATTATGATGAATTTGCCATAATATAGTTTTTGACAGGACCCCCTCATATTTTAAAACGCCAACTGGCAAAGCCTCTCCTTTTCAAAGTGGCGATTTAATAAACATTTATTTGTTTAACCAAGCACTACAAAAACTAAAATCCGCCCTGCAGTCAGAAAAAAAAATAACAACGTAATAAAGCATTGTACGTGTATGTCAAACACGAGCATACGTGACGGTTCAAGCCTCCAGCCACGTGCCTCATAGGCAGAGCGAGCGGCTCGCAGTTGTAAGGTTGCGAGTTCAACTCCTGGCCGAGGGGGTTGACTCAGCCCATCATCTCTCCAGGGTCGGATAAACAAGTTCCATAATATAGTTTATTTTTTTGGGTCAGATCGCGTTATTTATAAATGTGTTGTAACCCTCCACCACCCGACACGGCCAAACAGTAAAAAACTTGACACATTTTTTACTGTTTGGCCGTGTCGGGTGGTGGAGGGTTATGACACATTTTATAAATAACGCGATCTGACCCAAAAAATATATATATATTATGAATAATATTGGTCGCGAAAGCCTACGTGTTAAATTTAACAAGTTCCACTTTGTTGGGAAAGCCAACCGTGCCTGTCCTGCGAATTGACTCCCCCCCACCCCACCCATCAAAGGATAGAACAAATCCCAACCGCTGGCTCTTGCAGGGCTCCAAACAACCTTGAGCAGCAGGCAAAGCACTGAGACTCTCTGCTGGTAAGCGTCCGCAGACATTTGGAAAGCTGAAGCCCGTCGCAGTCTGCCAGAGCATTGACGCAGTTCGCAGGCCGAGAGGCAGACTGAATATATTACAACCGCGGCACGCAGTTAGGCTTGTCGTTTCTTTCAGACGGAAACAGAAATTGAAGTGACGACGCACGCCTCGGCTACTTTGTAAGCACGGATTTAAAGTGCAGCTTGCCTGCGTGGCCCCGTTTTACTAGGCGCTTGGCCGTGGCGTAGCCGATGTCCATTGTGTGACGTGTGTCCACGTTGCCATCTGGACGTCATTGACTCGAATCCGGATATGATCTGTCGAGCTAAATGCCTCAAAGAAAAACAACAGGGGCCCCATATATATACTAGGTTGTTGTGGCGCCCCCGCACAAACACAACCTGCAGCGTCCCCGAACAACCACAGCCTGCGGCACCCCCCAACAACCACAGCCTGCGGCACCCCCCAACAACCACAGCGTGCAGCCAACAGACTTGTCAAGTAAATCCTTACGATCCACTCGCACAGCGTGCGGTGGGCCTTCATCCAGCAGTGGATTTAAGCACCAAAAAAACTCGAGTGCTAATGTAATGGACGGAGCACGGATCTCCCTCAGGGCAGCAGTGGACAGAGCACGGCTCTCCCTCACACCACAACAACACGAATTGGGCCGCTCGCGGTCACGTGACGCACTTCAACCAATCCGGGGGCGTGCATGTTTTGGAGGAGCGCACCTCTTGGTTGGCTGCTTGCTCGCAGTCACGTGACGCACTTCAACCAATCCGGGGGCGTTAATCACATTCACAGAAGGACAGATCTGGGCTATTATATAAGTGTATTTTTTAAAGGGCCAGAAATCGATCGAAATGACTCTCAAGACCTAAATCTTGACGAAGCCTTCTCGTCGTGACCAGCAGACATTTAGCTCCTGAACCAGATTGCCGCCACCATCAAGCGCGAGAATTAGAACTGGTTTTAAGACCTTTCCGTCCACAGGAACCTTGGTACGTTATTTTTGTTTGCGCAGACAAGCTGCACATTCGGTTGGCAATGTACATTCGGGGCTTAATTTCTCACTTAATATCGTCCGGAATGCTGCTTGGCTTGGCTTGGAGTTGTGATTATCGGTGTAAGGCACTACCACTAGAGCACAATGTACACCCATTAGAATCTTACGTTATTGTACCATATATTGCTATGCACTGCCCCGCAGAAGTATAATGAGGACAAAGTAAACCAGGGTTGTATGTGGTATTGCAATTTAAAAATATATGCATTAGGCTTATTAACCCAGGAAAGCCTCACTGAATCTCTTTTGTAGTCACGTGTTTGTAGTTTTTGTAGTGGTTGTGCGATGTCGCTGTTTTTAATCCCGAAGATTAATTTGCAGTCAATGTTTTTAAATCCTTGGGATGTTGTTTGGACCAATACCAGATACATTGTGCTCTTCCGTCCGATATGAGGAAGCCACTGGGACTGTGCACTCCTTGAGTCCAGATTGAAAACTCACTTCTGTAGAGCAGCTTTTAATGTCAGTTTGTTATCCTTTCCCCGCACACCTCCGATTATCACGGTTGGCTACGCACGGTGCGAAAGAAGTTCAACATACATTGTTCTTTGTTTGCCTTGAGGTACGAACGTTACCACTGGGAGCCACGACGTGCAAGATTTGAACTCCCTCGCCTATTGGCAGGAGGTCGTCGGTTCCATTCCCACCCAGACGCCTGCATATTTAAGTTTGTTTGTCTCTGTCTCTCTCTCTCCCCCCATGGTTGCGTGCATTTTTCTCCGGGTCCTCCGTTTTTCCCCCTTCCACATTTAGAAGCAACTTTGTGCGTTCAGAGTACTTGGCTGCTATACATTTCCCACGTGATGATCGGCGACTCCGTTGGACTATCATTTGTGACAGCCAGGTTGCTTCTGAAAAAAGAGCTACACAGCACAGTGGGCCTTACGTGGTTTATATATAACAACAAAAAATCGAGCACCGTTGCCACCACTGCTGCACCGTCCGGTTAATGACTGTCACTCTCTCTCTCGCGCGCGTGCCCGCTCTTCCGCGCAGACAAGCCGCGCATTTTCGCGCTGCACGCACCACAGAGGGACCACGCCTGGTGCATCCCGTTCTCGGTGCGGGGCAACCCCATGCCCAAGCTCAGCTGGCTGTACCAGGGCGAGCCCCTCAACGAGTCCGACTTTGTGGCCACGACCTACACGGAGAAGCCGCTGTTCGAGGAGAGTCGCTCGGACGAGATCCACGGCTGCCTGACCCTCGACCTGGCGTCGCACCACGACAACGGCAACTACACGCTCGTCATCAGCAACGAGCTGGACCGCGACGTGCGCACCGTCTACGCTCACTTCATGGACGCCCCAGGTGAGCGGGCGCGCGTACCTCGAGAACGCCTCACTCCCACACCGCAAAGACTCCCATTGCTGCCGTTTACCGCCGGCTACCGCGTGCTCCGGCAAAAAAATGGGCGCCACGGCGGCGAGATGTTAACTTCCCTCGCGCGGCGTGCGGGAGGCAGAGGTCGCAAACGGGTTTTGATTCCTTACCCGTACCCGGCCGCACCAGGGTCGCAAAAGGGTACCCGTACCTGGTCGGGTACGTGTACCCGTTCCCTACCCGTACCCGTACCCTACCCGAAATGAGTGACAAACGGTTACTCACCAGTGACTCACGGCCTACCCGTACCCGTACCCGGCCGCACCAGGGTCGCAAACGGCTACCCGTACCCGGCCGGGTACGGGTAGCTGGGTATCGGGTAGGGTACGGGTATCGGGTACCCGGTTGCGACCTCTGGCGGGAGGCTCGTGGGTTCGACTCTGACCGTGGCGCCTGTAACGTTCGGAGTTTGCTTGTCGACGCGCCCTTCGCGGACGCAGCATGTATGCGTGCGCGTCGCACACACGCCATCGCGCAACGAGAAATCGAGCGCACTCGCGTGTATCGTGCGCTTCTCCGTGATGAGTTTGTTGTTGTTGTCCTTCCCCACGACCATATGATTAGCGCGGTGGGGATACGTATGGTGCAAAAGAAGTTCAACGTGCGTGCATACATACTTGTCAAAAATGGATTGCCAGCCACGATTTAGATGTTGTGTTTCGTGTGAAACGGCATGTTTCACCACTCGCACTTCTTATGCCGATTTTTACAACCTTTTTAAAATCCTTAATTGGTTCAAACTTTTAAAATAAAACTTTTACATTTTAAATTATATGATTTCTTACCTTTTTTTATTTCACTTGTATCATTCATTTATTTGCCTATAACGTGTCATGTCTGTCACGGAAACGGTCTTTTTTTTTTATTAATAATGAAACTTGATTTAAGAGCTTCTTAGCTCGCAGGGTACTTCAAAAGAAACTGAATCTAAGCACGTGGGTTCGTCCAGGGAAGTACATATTTTTTGTTGGCGATACGGAATGCCGATCTCGTGCAGCTGCGTGTACATACGTATGTTGAACTTCTTTCGCGCCGTACGTAACCAACCGTGCCAATCGGAGGTGCGGCTGCGGTTCGAACCAATCTTTCCTGAACGCCCTTACCACCACTCCTGCCCACAACATCCTCCGTCCAGCCGAGGATGGATGAACAGAGCTCTTGCTTATAAATGCTTTCAACTTTAATTCATAATCCACGTAGCCTCGAACACGACGCTGCCATCTGTGCGAAACGGACGTCGTTAACTCGAATCCGAATTTGATCGGTCGAGCTAAATGTCTCAAACAAAAAGAACAGAGGTCCTTATATATATTAAATGGCCGTCGTGTGTGTCGTAAGCCCTCCTCCACCTGACACAGCCAATTAATAAACGTGTCACGTGCATCAAAAACGTGGCCAAATGTATGGCTGCTTCAGCAATGTATCGTTGTTGTTAATCTGGTCGTTGTAGAGCAAATCTCGCAACATTTGTACACGGGAACGATGTTTCGATGGAGATCAGACGCAGCATCGTCGGGTTGTGAACAGGAGCTCAGATCTCGAGGGACAACTTTTATTCATTGACTTCGTCAGGTGGAGGAACGTGGACGAAAGACACATTTGTATTACGACCAAACCGAAAAGAATTTGATTATGAATAATAATAATATTCATATTCTTGGGTCTTTTGGTTAAGTCACGTAGATAGGTTCAATGAAAATAACAAAAAATAACAAAAAACTACGACGTTTCAATCGCAACACAAGCGCTTGTATTGCGATCGAAACGTCGTAGTTTTTTGTTATGTTTTGTTATTTTCTTTTAACCTATCTACGTGCCTTTACCGAAAGACCTAAGAATATGAATTCCTGCAGTCACGAAAGCTTTAAGTCAAAATAATAATAATATATCGGTTGTCAAAGCCCACGTGTAAACTATGAGACCTCCTTTACAAGTGGCAAAATATAGTAGTAGGTTTTTACCATTTAAACTGGTACAAAAACTGACACCTTTATACAAGGCATCATGTTTGCAATAACCACAACACAAGCAGTCAAAATGCAAACAAAAAGAAACAATTCTGATAATGATAATGATATGCACTGTCCTTGAAGTTGATTGGTCCACACCCGAGACAGCTTTTCTTAGAGCCTAGTCTCCATTGGTGTTGGACCGGATGACGCCAAAAGGCGTACAACTCAAAGACAGTGCACTATCAGAGTATTGAGAGCTCAGGGTAAGCATTCACACTATGAGACCTCCTTTAGTTTAAAGGGTAAAAACCTACTACCCACGTGTAAAGTTATCGTATGACTGGCTCGCTTATGAACGCCAACTGTGTGATGTGGACAGTAAACTAACTTGGCCATAGTCAAGTTGCTTCAAGCAACGGCAATCTGCGGGTGGCTCGCTCTCGGTTCACATTTATTTTCACCGCTATTCTTTGGCAGACTACTTTACTTTTTTTTTTAATGGCAAGATTCGTGAACTGGATTTCCATCGAGTGACTTTCACGCGTGGAGTATCTTTTCCTTCACGCGTGAATTTTTTTTTTTAAACCAAAAAAAAATGTTTGAAAAGTTTTAGCGAGGGAATTATAATAAAAAAAATATTTCTTTATTCATCATTTTTTTCTTTACAAACTGTATTCATTTTCATTTAACAGATATTCTTCCAGATGCTTATTACGGTAAGCGCTTCAGCTGTTCACACTCATTAAGCGCATTAAACCTGTGGCGTGTATCAGTCTCACTCGACATCGTGTAAAACCAAAAAACACTGTTTCGCATCGATCACAGGGTCTGTGTATTTACAGCCAATCAGCTACGCACACAGTTTGATTGCAAATGAGAGCACGGGCAATACTTCTGAATTAGCAGCAAATACACGGCAAAGTGCATTTGTCACCCGTGCAAAAGTCTCTCGCGGTGTACATCTTGTGTAATGTGACAGCCTTATGTGCGTGTGTATATATGCTCACACACACACACAGTGACCCAACGGCTACATTCATTATGATGCATACATGCTGCTGTTGCTGCTGTGTACTCTTTTATTTATTACTTTCAGAGGATGTCACGCAACCGTACAATGAAATATCGCGTGTCGGAGAGGATTCGTTTGCGGTAGGTGTCAAGATGGGTCGTAAATTTGGACCAATTAACATTTCGCACCCAACTTACCCAAACAACCAACCACCGCTATTTACAGCTCACGTTTAAAAAAAAATACATGTGCTACTTGCGGGCAATAACTAACGGTGTTACATGACTTGGATGTGCGATTTCACGATGAAAAAAATATTATCCATTGTATATAAGGTGACATATTGTTCAATGGCCCTTATTGATAACGATGATTTTCTGCTGCCAATGATGATGATGATGTTCAGAGTTGTTTTGTTTGGTTTTCAGGTGTACATCGCTGTGAGCATCGCCGCGTTTGTGTGCATTCTCTTGGCGTCTCTTCTCGTCCTCATCAACAAGTACAACCTGCGGAGCAAGTTTGGAATGAAAGGTAAATTTATTTTTTACAACGAATTAAACAAATTAACACACACACAGAACTGTGCAATCTTGATATACGATAACCTGTTTGGTCCTGCTGGTATGTGCCTAATTAATTACACTGGTCAACAACAAAAAAAACATTTTTTTCTGGCCTGGACTTTTGCAGCTGTTTTAGACTAAATTCAGGGTGCTGATTCATTGATTTTACCCGAAATAAACTTTGTCACTTATGATTGCAAGTTGTTGCGAGTCAGTAACTGCTTTAGTGTTAAAATATGGTGCTGTATTTTTAGGATAGTGTGTTTATATATAATTTATTGTAGATATACACATTTATTTAATATTTTTCTTCTGTAGTTTTTATTGAAAATGCATTATTTGATATCTCAAAAAACAGATTTGGAATCAGCACCACAAAATTACCTTAAAACCGTTGGAATACCTTATGCCAGAAAAAGTGTGTTGACCAGTGTTATCAATGTCTCATTTTAATTACCTTCATATTTCTCGATATTTAAATTTTAAACAACTTTTTAATGGTGGTAGGGTGTCCCACAGGTTGGCATTTAGTCTGGCCCACAGGCTGGCCTACAGTCTGGTCTACAATCTGCCCCAGAGGCTGGGCCACAGGTTGGGCCACAGGATGGCCCATAGGCTGCCCCAGAGGCTGGCCCATAGGTTGGCCCGTGGGGCTACTGTATATTTTGAGTTTGCGTGTCCCTCTCTTTACCGTGGTCGCGTGGATTTTTCTCCAGGTCCTCCGATTTTTCCCCTCCACATTAGAACCAACGTCACGCGTTTCCAGTGTCCGGCTGCTGTACGTGCTAAGAAGCCACTTTGTTGAGATATGATTTGTGATAGCCAGGTCGTTTGTGAAAAAAAATAGCGATATTGCTCAGTAGACATTACCTGGTAAAATACATTAAAACATCGGTTTATTAATGCAGTATCGGAGGGAGCACTGTCTTGACAGTCTGGGGTTTGGTCGCCCGAAGTATCCACTGCCTTCTCACAAGCAGCGAATTGAGAGGGACCTCAGTTGGGTCACCGATCACTGCACCCAACAACAACAACAACAACAAATCCCCCATCGCATTAAATTCGAAATTTTCATTCAATTCAACAATTTGCAACTCTGATAATAATGAAACATGCTGGTTTGATCAGCGTGGGATGAAACTACTTGCCAAGCTCATTAAATACGTGTCCTCTGTGAGTTGAAATATAGGCTCATTGAATTGACTTTAGGTTTGGGATTTGAATCGAAATTGATTCACAGTGGACGTTCAAGATCCCCTGAACGGCATTGGAAAAAGGAGGCCACTGTGTTCCAGGGGGTCGGGGTTCCAAATGTTCTCAATAAAAAAAAATGGCACGCCACAAATTAGTCAATTGAGATAAATACTCATAGCACGCAAGCAATCATCGCCCCCTACTGGCAGACCAATACCCCCCAGGTCACTCTCGCAGAGAGACCCTATCCTTGTCTCTTGAATTCTCACTTGATTTCACGGAATACACTCGAAAACTTGGAATGTAATTGGGTGGAAAAATACATTAAAAACTCAATCCAAAACAAATTAGTGTTTCCAAGCTGCAAGAGTTAAAAAGAATGTAATTAACATTTCTGCACCTCAAAGTGTCGTGAGTCCAACTGAATCGCAAACGTTGTTCCTTTTAAACGCAACACTTTTATTTATAACACCGTAACACAAAGGGGTAACTGCCCCTTCACCAGATAAAGCCTAGGGTGGTGACCACCCAGCTAACTACTCTATACAGAGGAGTTACCAGAGGTGGGACAAAGTCATTGTTATGCAAGTCCAAGTCGAGTCTGAAGTCATCAAATTCATGACTCGAGTCTGACTCGAGTCCAAGTCACATGACTCGAGTCCACACCTCTGGGAGTTACTGCTACGAAGGGTCGGACCCTCACTCGGGTCTCCGACCACGTAGGTTGCCTCGTAGGACGAAGAGCTTCAGCTTGAGACGTAGAGCTTCCGCTTGTAGGTGTTCAGCTTTCAGATTGTAGATGTTCAGCTTTCAGCTTGTAGACGTTGAGCTTCCGCTTGTAGGTGTTCAGCTTCCAGCTTGTAGACGTAGAGCTTCCAGCTTGTAGACGTAGAGCTTCCAGCTTGTAGATGCTGAGCTTCCGGCTTGTAGGTGTTGAGCTTCCAGCTTGTAGGTGTTGAACTTCCAGCTTGTAGATGTTGAGCTTCCCGCTTGTGGGTGTTGAGCTTCCAGCTTGTAGAATGCAGCGACCCCGGTCCCTCTCAGAGACCTGCCTTATATCCCCCTACGGTCGGGGCTGCTCCGCCCTCAACCCTCCCGCCTTCTCGAGCATTCTCGTTCTCTCTCGATCTTTCTCAAGAGCTCTCCCTGGACACGTGACCACCCACTAGCCCCCCCACCTGGGGCCCCTTGTGTGGACTCTCCGGATCACGTGTCTACGGGGTCAACCAGACAACCAGAGTGCCATGGCCCGGGGCAACCCTGCCCCTGGGCTGACGCTCACCCACTCACTCCCCCTCGTGGGAGCCCCCACCACACACTGTGCGTGGTGCCCGCACTATCCCAGTGCTCACCAAGCCCCGCTAGGGCTGGTGTCACACACAGCCACCCACACGGTGCTGTCCACGATGTAGGAAACATCGAACGGCACTGCCCTTCCGGGCCGGCACCACACAGTGACATCCTTGATGTCACTACAAAAGCATAACTGTGGCATGACCTAAAAATGTGCTCTGTTTGCTGCTGGACGTTTGGTCTTTTGGACCTCTGAGCCGAGTACTTGGCAAACTGTGATAACACTGGTCAACACACTTTTCCAACGGTTTAAGGTAATTTTGGGGTGCTGATTCCAAATCTGGCATCAGTTTTTGTCTATCACATCAGGTTTTTGAGATATCAAATATTGCATTTTCAATAAAAACTGCAGAAGAAAAATATTAAATAAATGTGGATATCTACATAAAATTATATTATCAACACACTATCCTAAAAATACAGCACCATATTTTAACACTAAAGCAGTCACTGACTCGCAACAACTTGCAATCATTAGTGACAGAGTTAATATCGGGTAAAATCAATGAAAATGGGGTATGCCGATAGCATAAAAATTAGATGTGATAGAGCAAATGGAATCAGCACCCTGAAATTAGTCTAAATCAGCTGCAAAAGTCCAGGCCAGAATTGTTTTCATTTTTTTTTGTTGACCAGTGTAATAAAACTGACGGTGATAGCGCAACTGGGACTATGTCCTGGGATGTCACTTAGTGGACTAATTGCTCTTGCTGCTGTGAAGCGGAGCTTTGTATCCGTACATCGTTTTGTACGCCTCCGTTGTGATGACTTTTGCTGTTGTTGTTGTTGTGTATACCTTTAGTTTGTGTGACAATTCTTGATGTGTTTACCCGTTAAATGTTTTGGTAATTTTTCCACTACGGGTTTCATTTACTTAATAATAATAATTGCTATAAATAGGATTTAGCCCTTCATGCGATTAGGCGTATAATTAATGCACAGCTGTGTGAGATGCAATTAGCATGAATTACGCTGTATAAAACTCAAATTATTATTATAATTGAGGGGGGGGGGGCAGAGGGGGGGATGGAGGGGGGTAAACAGCACATAAATTACGGAGAAAAAAAACAATGGAACGAAAATAAATTATCCCCCCACCCCGCCCTGCCCCCCCGCATTTAAACCATAACCACTGCCACTGATTTCCTCGCTTTGCGATCGTGCTGGCTCGCAACCACAACGTGAGCGATGACGTTCGTCTGCGGTGAGTCAGCGTGCCCCCCCCCCCCCCGTCGCCCCGTCGCAAAGGGTTAACGCGTCGAAAATGAGCTCGGCAAATGGATCCTCCTGTTCGCCACAAGTCCGGCGTCTCGACTCACACGCACGCCCGTTCTGCAAGCAAATGAGCCTCACCAAACTGGATTACGCATCTGTTATCCGCCGCCTTCCCTCCTACACCCCTCCCCCGCCACCAAATAAAATGCAAATCCCATCGACGACACGACATTGGAAATCCACTCCCGCGTGCGGAGCACGTGTGCCCACGTGGTTGTCCGACGTCATTTATATGTCTGTAACGGGAACGGTGTTCCGCGGCGCTCGGTGCACGCCAATATTATCCACCCGCAAACCTGTGCCCAAATTGCCTGGCTTGTGCGCAACGCCCGGTGACAGTCAGTAACCTAAACAGGGCCCCCCGGTTTGCGCGAGGCTAGCTTAGCATAAAGAATGCGAGGCTGACAGCGGTTTTGTCAATGCCAGCGCTGGAAAGGCAAGGGCAGCTTGGTTGTGCGCGGTGCTGATCGCAACACCCGTTCGTGTGGCGTGCGGTCCTGCGAATCAAACTTGTCCGAACAGTCTGTGGCCTTCATCCCAGCGCATGGGGGAGACAATGGCCTTGTAAGGTATCTCTGGCATGCAGGAGCAAGGAGAGCACTTGAAATCTTAAGTTCGAAACAGTCTGGTTTTTATACCACCACCACCGCCGCCGTCGTCGTATTCGTGTTAATATCACGGTTGGCTACGTACGGTGCGAAAGAAGTTCTACATGCATATGAACGGTGGCGAGACGTTAACCACCTCGCCTGGTATACAGGGGGTCGTGGGTTCGATCCCGACCCTGACGCCTGCTGTATATTTGGAGTTTGCGTGTCTCTCTCTCATCATCATCACCACGGTGGCGAGACGTTAATTACCTCGCCTGTTATACGGGGGGTCGTGGGTTCGATCCCGACCCTGATGCCTAGAAATTTGGAGTTTGCATGCCTCTCTCTCTCTCTCTCTCCTCGTGATCGAGTGGATTTTTCTCCGGGTCCTCCGGGTTTTTTCCTCCACGTTTAGCATCAGCATGCGTTGAGAGTATTTGGGTGCTATACATTTTCGTTGAGCTATCATCTGTGATGGCCAGGTCGATACTGAAAAAGAGCGAGAGAGCTCAGTGGGCCTTACCTGGTAAAATAAAAAGAATTGTTTATAGTTTAC